TCCCGGCACTCAATATTAACTGATTATTGCACGATTAATAAGTATTTTCTCGGTTTAATCCCTTTTCTCACCGAAAATCTGCGGACGAGCGCCAAAACTTCCGTCCTCTGTCAGTGGCCGGCCGCCATGATGAACATGCACGGACGAGTTGCGCAGTTGTGATATTTTGAATATGGTACTCTCCTTATAAATATATTTTATAGGAATATACATATATACGTCGAGAATTTATAATAGTATACGATAATAAAATCTGATTTATTAATTGTCATTCTTTGATTAACCTTTGCATGATGCCTATGAGAATTATGACACCTCATTTCCTTAANTATATTTTATAGGAATATACATATATACGTCGAGAATTTATAATAGTATACGATAATAAAATCTGATTTATTAATTGTCATTCTTTGATTAACCTTTGCATGATGCCTATGAGAATTATGACACCTCATTTCCTTAATATCGATATTAAAGAGCAAAAAAACACCTATGGCGCAGTACGAATGGCGCCCACCCGCCCCTGGTACTGCTGAACAAGAATAAGTAAGGACCGACAGCATCTCTCTCTGCCTAAACCTGGGTATAGCTTCCCCCACCACAGCGCGGTCTAACTCAAGGCGACACCTGGTGATTTTTCTCCGAAATTTATATATATATATATAGTCCTTGCCAGAAAAGAGCGGTCGTGCCTGAGTACCCCCACTCTATCGAATTGAGCTCCGACTCAACGTCCCCCACCACTCATATTCAACAGCATTCTTTCCTCGTGACGATGTATATTTTTTTCACACATCATATCCTCTGGAAAGGGCAAAAAAATCAAAAGTCTGAAATAGTTACGGTCAGTCTACTTTTAATCTCGTTTGAAGACAATATCCACTTGTCGAAATTATTCGCTAGTTCATAGAATAACAACGACAAATACAAGCATTGCGTTCCCGAAAAGAAAAAAAATGATAAAATACAAACAAAATGTGAAATCTGCTGTAACAATATTCACTAGAGGAATATAGCTTTGACATAGTGCCCTGCCCCGTTCAGCACCGTTTAGTTCCATTATTTCTCAGTGGAATGGATCAAATACGCCCTACCACCGTCCAATTGCTGTCTACATGACAGTTGCAAACACTCCGAATGACGATAATTCAACGAAAAAAAGTTCAGTACAAGTCCAAAAAAACCATCTGTTAATTCAATAATAAAAACACAAAAATGAGCGATATCTGCGCTGGACACGTCCGCACATGAGTAGTCTGAGTAAATATTCACGTTTTTTAAATAAAATTAATGATTCATCGTCATTTCTCGTTAATATACTTCCTTAACAAACAATTATTAGTAAATTACTTGTTAGTGAATGTTTCATGCTTCATTTGAATATGAAAAATTTTATCATACGAAATGAAACAAGGCTGATGACGGAAGGAAATCCGCCATTGCGTAATTGATTATGTTGAACATGTTATTATAATTCTATGCTCACCTTTATTCACATACTTATTGTCACTATTTAATATCGAATTTAATGACTTTTATATTATAGTGTAATGAAATGATGTTCCTATCTTAAAATAGCTACTGTTTTTGTAAAAATGCTATGAGATTTATTAAATTTCGAAGCATGATTTTGAAATATAGCGCAAAGGAAGAGAAATATTAACAAGTGAATTTATTGAAAATTGTTTCAACAAATTATTATTAGAGCATAGAATATCACCATCAAGAAAAAAATGCCAGCACCTCCACCGCCAATTGAACCGCCACCTCCAAGTCCACACGATGCATCCTTGTGTCAGAGTAATACAGTTTGTGAATCTAAACATTTTCCACCTTGGGAAAAAATCACTTTGACATCAGCTGAAGCGGAAATTGAAAAATTGATAGCGAGGAATGAATTGAAAGATGCAGAAGTTACGTACTTTTGCCAAGTTGCACCGATTCTGCAGGATGGACCACAGTGAGTACAATTTTTGTCATCTAATAATAATGCCTTTTCCAACTACAATTAATTATTTTTTGTTTTTTCAATATTATTTTCATCAGATGCGGACTTGTTGCACTGGCAATGGCTTCTCAAGAATATACAAAACCAGTATCAGTTGGACAACTCTTAGCAGAGGCACGAGTCAGAGGATTTACTCAACACGGTGAAGTTTACAGTGTCGATTTCATGGCAACCCTTGCGGCTGAATATTTGCCAGACCATAGGCCAGATATTCTCATTGATTTACAAACATGTCCAGATACATTAACTCATGCACTTGCCAATGGCGCCATGGTACTCATTCCATATGACTCTGATTTCAATCATGCACCTTGTTTAAAAAGAGGACACAAAGCACATTGGACTTTACTCGTTGGATTAATATCTTCGAGGTCAATTTAACAATCTATAATAATTGTCAATTATACTTAAAAATCACTTATATTGCTTCCTTTTTATTCAGACAAGGATATTATGTTTTGTCACGACATGGAAAATCACGGCATCTAGCTTGTTGGCCACTTCGTGATCTCATTGAAAGTAATGGAAATTTAGAGGAAGAAGGAACAGCAAGACATGCTGGTGGCTATGTAATTCCAAAGGGAGGTGTTGGTGGTCATAGAGGGCTTCGAGGTCGAGCTCTTGCGCTACATCCATACATATGAATACGAAAAGAAAAATGAAAAAAGGCAAAATCGTACTGCTTACATAGATATTCAACGTATCTGTGCCCGCCTCAAAGATGCATCTTCAATTTGATAAGCCAAAAATTCAATAATAATTAGCCATAATCATCGCAATTGATAGTTATATTCAATTATTTGTTCAGAATAGAGAGGAATATTGAAATCTGCTGATTTTCAACTCTGTGTTAATGGCCCCTCTTGTTAATGTTTATCACGTTATGTATATATATTTCAAGATTTTTCATCGAATATTTCAATTTTTTTTCAATCGATGTGTCAGGTGTTGTGTTGAACACGGCATTTACATTATATTATGTGGCCTCATGAATTCTCTTGAATTGAATTAAGTGATGCAAGTAATTTTCTGTGGAATGTATTCCCAAAGTCACGAGTTCACTGTGATATGAAGTATGAGAAAAGTAACTTGAATGTTTCCCGACAAAATAAAAACAATGATGAGAAATGTACATGCGTGTATCTTAATATGCTATGAATTTATTGTATTATTTATTTTTAACCACGTGCTTTATATTATCATACATCTAACCATCAACAATTTACAATTTTTAAATTTATGTCAGTGTTGAATTTATTTTATTCCGTTATAGGAATATTGCTCAAAATCACGTTCATCTTGGTTCAAAAATGTATTGCTGTTGGCATTTCAGAGATATTTTTAGCAATACTATATGACTTGAAAATGTTCCAATATCCTTAATTCAATGTAGTGAGAAACTGTAGAGGAAGGAAAAATTGAACAACTTGTAAAACATTTTTATTGGCCTGAAGAATATTTTTAAAAAACACAACAATACCCAAGCTGGATATATATATATATACCTATATATAAATTGATCAAAAAACATTTTGCATTATTTTATTCATTCTCTTGGAGGATTTTGTAATCTGCTTTGATTGTCAGAGTACGTATTTAACATGATAAACTTATTTTTCTTTCTTCATCAGTTTAGCCGTCAAGCTAAATTAAGTGGGTACAACCGTCACAATAGTAATATTTAACTGTATAATGTAAAAAAAAAATCAAATTTCAGCCTGAAATTGCCTTTCATTATTACTCAGTAGTGAAGTAGTTAACCTACACCTAAATCTTCTTATTTCATTCAACTAAAATGCACGAATATTTACTAATTTTCAAAATTGTACCTGGAATGCAATTTTTTTACACCGACTAGACATTTGTCTCCAGAGGATGTAATGAATCTTTGATATCCCTCCGATTGAAAGAACTGTCACGTTCACTTCGACTTTTGCTTGAGAATTTAAGCAACTAAGCAAGGTAATGCAATCTACCCAGAGGAATAAATATGAAAATATAATAACAACATCTGCCTTGCAACAACACAATCTTTTATTCTATCAAATGATATTTACAGCATAATTGAAGAATGCATTACATTTATATTTCAAGCCCAAAAACATTAATATGATTATGATTTAACTGTTGATCTTCACTCCATTAAAATTTTTTTCATCCAGCATCATAGTCTTCATTACTTCTTCACTGTTTTGCCCATTTGTCCCTCAATTAACAGCATTGAAACCATATTACTTTCTCGAGAATAGACCGTATTTAACAACAATTCCTTTTTAATTATTTTCATAATTAATAGGCTAATGAATTTCCTAATTGCCTCTATTTGTACCTTGAGCTTTTTATTTATTAAAAGTATATCTTGTATGTCAAAGGATCTTGCAAAATTCACTTGTTCACAGTACATAGAAACAAGAATATACATATTGTAATGAAAGACGATCATCAAGTGTACTCATAAGCTCAGGACACGGCTTAAAATTGAATCTAATCTAATTATGAATAAATAATATTTGACATTCAAATATTATATATTTAAAAGTACATATCACATTTAAATATCCAACATCCCCTCTCCTTCATCATACAAACAATGTGGAGTTAAATTAAAATTGGCTTCACTATCGGTTTTATACTCTCTTTTCGTTTATGCCATTGATCAATTAATAAGGTCGTCCGAAACAAATAATGACATGATTTAATGCACAACAAATATTGCACAATTGGATATATATTTTTTACTATTCATTACACCTATAAATGGTTTATTCTCACCATACATTTGGTAGATAATCTATTCTACTGCCGCAGAAAATTTCCTAATTGTAAAACATTCACGCATGTCTTTTGCGGAATAGAAAGTATACCCGTGATATGTAACTTTGATTTCAAAATTTGAGTTTGACGGAGAGCCGTGATGAAACTTGAAAATCATTGGTCACTGAGGGGGAGGGGCGGTCTATTTTCTCTAAAATAGACCGTATGTAACAACAGTTACTTTTTAATTATTTTTATAATAGTACGACTTGGATTTTTTAGAGTCTAATGAGTATGAAAAATCATTTGACGGGTCCGTTCAGCGATCAAGGACTTTCAAGGTAATAAAATTTCTTACAAATGACATTTATCAACGAACTGGTTGAAATTGTTTTACCATAAGCAAGCCATTTTAATTCAACTCTCTCGTACCTTTGCCCCTCCCCCCGGCCCCTTTTCTCAATATATATATATATAGTTACAGTATTATGCACCCACGCAAACACACTTTGTGGGCCTCCTCTTGTAAGCACAGAAAAGATAGGTAATGCTGTGAACAATTCGAGACCCTTTTATTTATATTGTTTTTTTAATGCAATCAATCACCTCAATAATCTGTATATTACCACATAAGTCTTCAATTATTGTAAGCATTGAGCTGGACATGCCTCCTTTAATCACTTATTATTAAACTTTATAATGCTACCGCATCACACGACAGTTCAACTGATGAGAAGGTAGAATTATATCAGTGGTGATGAAATAGGAAAAAAAAACCATGTACTTGTCAGATCTAATAGACTTGAAATAATTTTCAATCAAGTGGAATTTTAATTTACATTAAAAAATGTTATAGTTTTCATTCACGACTAGAACCAGTGACGGCGTGATGGCCAGGCACATTGTAAGGAAAAATTCAATGGCAATATTCATAAAATTACATATAGTACTATTGCTGTCATTGAAATTACAGGTGTTGCAAAACTTTATTGAGAAAAACTAAAGTTGGATATGATTTGTGTGCATTATATGATCGGATATTCAGTTGAATAATAAGTAATCGGTGGTTACACTAATTAAAAATTGATCGGAAATGTGGATAGAGATTAAACATTAATTTCTAATATAATATTTCGGCCGCAGTCTTAAACGTACATGGCTATTATTTGTCGGTAATATGTTACTTTATCACTAAGTTCTGCTTGCGATTTCCATAATTAGCATTGATCTGTGAAAAAATTCCGTCCTTTTACTGCCTCTTTCAAATGTGTATCTATGCATAAATATATTTTCCTCAATCCAACATTGATTGCCATTGAAATTATTACCCCACTGAAATTGAACACTAACAGGAAAGCACGGTAAATCTGTAATAATAAGTTTCACATTAATTTGGTAATGGAAAATTTTGTTTATTCATCTTTTGTCTCTATTTGTATTCTTATTTTTTTTTTTTTAGAGAGAGAGAGAGAGAGAGNGAGAGAGAGAGAGAGAGAGAGAGAGAGAGAGAGAGAGAGTGAGAGAGAGAGAGAGAGAGAGAGAGAGAGAGAGAGAGAGAGAAAAATTCGACCATTTAGGAATCTATTAGATTTCATTGATTTGTTCAATAAAAAATATAAACTGACGCATTAAATATAATGCTTTGAAAGAAAATGGAGGAGATGAGCATGATTAGTAGAGGCAAACACTCTCTATAATACTTACACAGCAACGTGGTGAATGAACGCCGTATTTTCTTAAATTTTTATCAGCTTGGGCATTCGTATACCAATAATTTAACAAATGTTTCTAAACTCTAAATAATTTAATGGAATAATTAGCATTTTTTTTGTGCTCTTCAATATATGAAGTTTCAAATTTTTTTTTTTACGTAAAATTAGTGGTTTGTTGTTGAAGCTGACTGTAAACTAACATGGAAACTGGAAAATTTTTAATATGCGTCTGCCATTGTGCTGATAGTTGGAAGAATTTAACTCCATACCACTCAGTTCCATCGATTGTCACTGTATAAATGAAAAAGATATATTTTTTGTTTCTTCTAGTGTAATCACTTGATTTACATACTCAAATAAAAATTTACCTCTCAAAGGAATGTGGGTTTTTGCCGAACAAATTAATCTGGTCACACCATCCACGGTTTGATTCTTCGGCTCATTTTCTTTCTCCTTTTCTTTTTTTTTACCCAATCTCATAACTAGAAAAGGCAAAAAAATTATAAAAAATGCTAAAAATCATGGAGAGTAAATTAGTATTTAGAGGAGGAAGAGAGCGTGAAATGTTTTCAACATACTTTTCTGTTTTTTCTCTTTGGTTGTGTAATTCATTGACAGATATTGTCCAGGATTTTCTCCCACAGTGGGTAACCTTTGAACGTGAAGGGCACGGAAGGCTTGCCTCAGCGTACATTTTCCTTTATCCCCTAAAGTAGATTTGCTCCAGTAATCCAACTGTAATTCAACTGGTTCCCATCCATCACGTGGCTGACTGACATTTGGACTGCTGGGTGGCGTTAATCTTCCAGGAGGTGGCACAATTGAAAGGCACGTTGGCGGCAAAGAAGGTGGAGAACCCGACATTGCAATTCCACCTTCTTCAAGGTCAACAGAAGCTGAGGCACTGCTTTCAGGACAGCCAACACGCACGTCGTTAACAAATGGAATGAATATTTGACTACTATCATCTGTCTCTCTGCAATTGATAAATATTTCAAAATGTCATTGACTAGTATTTATTATTATTTTTATTATTATTATTATTATTATTATTATTATTATTATTAGTACAATATTTATTTATTTATTTATTTATTTATTTATTTGTTCACCTATATGTTACCATTGCTTCAGCAATTGGTAATAATAATGTCGGGCCAACATTGGCAAGGTACTCAGAAACCCTAGCGGCTCCTTCCGCAGCCCCTCCTATCTCGCGCTCTAATAATTCCTTCCATTCATCACCAAATAGCATCGAGTACTTGTTGTCAACAGAAGCTAGGTATTTGGATAATGTATTTGATCCGAGTGGCACAATCAGAAATCTCAAATAATTCTGCCAATCTGGTGGTCGAAAACTCAAAAGGTCCACATAATGTTTCAGTATAGCATTAACAAACCCGTCACCACCGGCAATCACTATTCTTATTGGAGATGGTGGCTTTGCAGAACTGTTACAGAATTTTTGTATCCTCGCTATCAAACAGGTAAATGTTGCACGAATATCTGCTGGTGATGCACTAGTTAATACTCTGATATTGCGCTCTTGAAGACGAGCTGCTAGTACAGCACCACCTGTATCTGCCAATGACACAATAGCTATGGACTCTGGCAGACAATCATCTGGCAAAACTCGCACCAACTGCTCTACCAATGCTTTCCTCGGCTAAAATAAATAACATTTTATTCGTTATTCATCAATTATTAATAACCACCATACAGTGTAATTATAAATTGACAAACTAACTTCTAAACTATTCAATTCCGTTGGAGGCTTCAGATCAACACTGAGACTATGCTTCTTAGACTTGTTACTCCCTGGGGTTCCTCGATCTCTGGCAAAAAGACGACCCTTCCTGTCATTATTTTCGTTTTTATTACCATGCTGTCCTTCAAATTTTGGAGGCGATCCTGTCACTGCATTTGGCCCATCGTTTGCCTCATGATCGGTCCAGTTTTCTGGATGTGAGTCACTGTCTGCGCGTCTTGAGCTGTCATCACTCTGCCTGTCTGTACACCTTTCTGTAATGTTCTTCATGTCAAGTAAATTCTAATGATAATAATAATAATAATAATAATAATAATAAGAATAAAAGTTTAACTATATAAAAGATGGCTCCAGTTTGAATTTTTTTATATAGCAAGAAGATGTGAATTCATCGATAATTGTTTATGATTATTTCAATAAAACGAGTCTGAAAACATTAATCTAATATCAAACCTACTTGTTTATTTAATTACACTGCAACATGAAATAATTAAACTTGGAAAAAAAAATCAAAAAGAAAATAATCACTTACATAATGGAGAATATAATACAGTCTATCGTGACGAATACACCACTGAATATAACAGATAAACAGATACCAATAAATACACAGAGTGAAAAAGAGCATACGTACGTTTGTAAGTAGAGAGATAGAGACTTCAGTTTCATACATAAGCTTATTTACTGTATTTTCGTTAAGTAATTTTTTTTCATTTTTTTTTTTTTTTTTTTGTGAAAATCCTTCATTACGTATGATCGCTGATACGATCATTATTAAAGTCACTTGGTACTTGTATGTTCTTGAAAGAAAATTAATGGAAAAAAGAAACAAACAGAACAATCTAACATGAAGAAAATGCATGCTAGCAAACCGTGTACTTCGTGTATAAAACAGGTATATACAAATAAATATTATTTTAAGGGGAAAAAAGAAGTGAAAAATGACAAAGAAAAAAAAAGAAAAAAAAAATAAGGAACGCATTCAAGACATGTTTTCAGAGAAAGAAAAAAGAAATATATTTTGACAAATATTTTACAATAATTTCATACATGGTGTCTCTTTCTTTTTTCAATAAGTAGGATAAAGAAAAAGAAATAAATCTTTTGAAATGTCATCCTTCCGAGCTAATGTAACAATTAACCGACGATAAGAAGATTTAATAGTCAAAAGCAGAAATGAGTAAAGTGTTAACAGCAAGACGAAAAAAATAACCAAGTATTCGAGATTAAATGTAATTTTGCCAATTAGACATCTCCTGCCAGGGTAACTCAAGCACTGGAGATTCGCCGATAATCTAGAAAACGTTATTATTCTCTCAGAGTAACATGACTTTTCGTTTATAAAAAAATGGACTATAGAGTTGATGAAATTTATCACTCAAACTGAATAACTAATCAAGAATGAGAAGATGTGTTGATTAATTGAGTAGTTGGCAATTAATTAATCATGCAAATGGAATTATTGTTATTGCTTGTTGGTGATATAAAGAAGAATTTATAAAAGAAATAATCAAGTGATATAGAATAGACGAGTAGAGTAGTAGCGCGAATATTAGTCACCATCCTTGATGTAATATTTATTTATTTATTTACTCTTTTACTGTTATATACCTGGTGTAGTGTGTCCGACACGTGACTTCTCTTTAATAGCCTGTCCAGTTGTTGGCTGTGACACTGTCGTAATTTGCGTTGAATTCGTTCCACTTTCCTCCTTGGTAACTACTATCGAATCGTACCATGCAACAGTGCAAAGCCAATCCCACTTTATTTTATTAATTATTTTTCCATCAATTGAAAAACATTTTTGATGTCTATCAATCCGTTTCATCGATCCAATTCAACCAAAAAAATGGAAAAGGGGGAAAATACGCCATTAAAAATGTGATGCAACAAATTTTATCGGTTGTTTTTGTTTGTTGGTTTTTTTTTTAAACATTACTTCATATATGAATCAATGGACTCGAATCATGCTCAAATCTGCCGAAAACTCGGTAAATTGCCGGCAATTGGGAGAAAATGAAATGATATGCAAAAATAATAATCAATGAATAAAAAATTGATAATTAATAGCCCGGCTGTTGTCAATAACGTGCCTCTCAAATTCTACAAAATACGAGCTGAACTTTTGTGGACTGAGGCTACATTAAAAGCGTATAACTCACCATTATTTGGCGGCGCCAAGAGAGATCGACTAGAACTGAAGAATGGTCGGAGGGAGGGTTTTGGTGTGCTACTCACAGACATTGTGTCCAATTCTGGACCACTGTCCGATAGATCTTCCAACTCGTCAAAAAGCTCTTCAATTTCCATATCTCCGCCTGTAGGTGATTTATATCAAATTATATTCATTCATTTGAATAAAAGTGGAAAAATTTTTCCTCATTATTATTATTATTATTATTATTATTATTATTATCATTATTATCGTCATCATCATCATCATCTTCTTCACCTGATAATTTTTGACCAATTTCCTCTTGATCGTGTTCCAATTCCTCTGATACTCTAAATCGTTTTAATAGAGCAATAAATTTTTGCTTTAAATTTCTTTGCTATAAAAAATCACGAAATCATTAATATTTAATATGATTACAACAGATTTAAACATTGAGTTTTTAATAATATATGTTTGCGCTTACCCTTGCATTAGCAGGTATTTTTGTTCGGCTTTTTCGTCGATGTACCTCTAGCGTGGGTTCAGAATCACTGCCTTCAGCTTCACCCTCTGAACTAAATTCCTCCTCGTCGTCACTGTACTCGGGACACAGTCGCTCACTTGCGTCATTTATTAGCCTTTTATCCTGATCAACTGGCTGCGAGCAAAGCGCAACAACACTAATTTTTGCCAATACAACTGATGATCCACCGTATTTTTCGGCTTTATCTGAGACAAGTTCCAATTCAAGATCCATTTGCTTCTGCAAAACCTGATGAAGCAAAAAAGAAAGAAAAACACAAAAATTATTTTCACTATTAATAAGAAATGGAGTAATACATTACCTGTGCCATGTTAACAACACCTTCAGCCAAAGTCTTAAATCCCAACATGGTTCGATTTTTGTATCTTTTCCTCCTCTGTAATAGAATTAACAACTTATTACCATCCCTCTTGAGAAAATGTGGATACTGCAGGGCAAATTGCAATTCCAATTCTGTGTCAAGCATTCCTCCAGGTTGTATTGACATTTCATTGGAGCGTAATGTTCTTTTAGAACTTTGCATTTTGACGGCAATACTGATTGAAGCCAAATCAGCACCCAAAGGCCGGAGTATCACGAGTCTCGTCAATGTCAATGTGCATAACCTTCAAAAGACAATAGATTTTTGATTTTTTTAAAGCATTTTCCTTTTTCAAACAAATGAGCTCCAGCAAAATAAAAAGGATTGTTGAACTATTTTTAAGAGATGCTTTCAATCATTGGCAAAATTTATTAAAACCTAAATGGCTTCAGCCCGCCGCTTTTTCATAACAACACTCAATTCTTTAACCATTATTGTCGAAAAATCTTGGCTATTGATATTCGAACCATGTATTAAAAATTACAAATACAAATCCGTTCACATACTTCAAACTCTATTATTGCATTTCATTGAACTTTTTCTTTAGTCTAACTTTCCTTCTAGTAGCAAATTCAATTTGGTCAAAATTTTTAGTAATTGGCAAAAAGCCATGCGTATGGCTCCAGTGGAAATGTTTGTCAAGGTATTGTTTTTCAATTGTCGTTTCATGCTTATCAAAAGTCTACGTGAGATTCCTTTTTTTTTTTCATTTTTTTATAGAGTGTGAACGAATTTCTCTCTTCTCATCCCTCGCATTGTGTCAGATGTAAAAAGCAATTTTGTTTTATTTGTACTACACTTTGTGGCAACTGGTCGGTGACATTGAATCGATATGCGCAACCTTTGCTTATTTCGCATTCCCTATTATATGCACATATTACTTGATATGCGTCTGCTACGCTTAACTGCCTATAGTTGGACCATGGACATGTCGAGGATAATTTCTCACCTTTTTTTTGTATTTTTATTATTATTATTATTATTATTATTATTATCTTTGATTTGATGAATAGAAAAATCACTCTGTTTAACCTGACTTGTCAAAAACGTGCCCTTTCAAATAATAAATTACTGGACGGCGAAATTACATTGAATATCTATTTATCTATATGTATTCTTTTTAAATATAAATAATACCAAAGTGATTAATAATATCCATACGGACTCCGCATTGCCCAGCCATAAGTTATATCAGGAGCATAGTAACAATGCCAAAAACTAAAGTGCTCTTCAACTCATATATTAATAAATACAACATATAATTTCAAACGACGAGAAAATCATTACCTCCCAAGTTTTTGAGAATAGATATTTTTAGATTTATATAAACCGGACTATTGTGTTGGCCTGGCTTGGCTTCATTGAAAATTAGCTATTTATGAAAATTTTGACAAGGGAAAGACGTGAAAGGAACCATATAATGAAAATGACAGGAGGTCAAATAGGGGATATCGATTTTTATTCCGAGGATAATTGAGATGAATCAATTTCTACATGAGTTATTGTAATGAAGAATTTGAAGCTCATACCAGAAATGTCAGACAAGATTGTGACTCCTTTTTTGTAACGTGTAATGATGAATTATTTACAAAAAAAGAGAAAAACAAACTAAATATTGCCAGCAATAATTGTGATTCATTTTTCACCGATATCCACGGAGATTCTTAGAAGACACGTACATATACGTTTATGGCAATTCCAATCTCGTAAATACCTTTTTATTCCAACAAATATATTTTACTACTTTTTTTTCTACTTCATCTTTTTGACGGCATCCATTGTCCGCTATCTCTCGCATTTTCTCTGACAGCCAAACTAATGATTCAATTGTTTCTTCATTACCCTTTATTATTTACCTTGGTATGCAGTTAGGAGGTGTACGATCAACTTCCCAAGTAGCAAATAATTTCATTGGCACAGGCCGGTTAACCAGGGCCGTCACTTTGGTCCGCTCCGCCATTATTCAACCATACAGTGCACACAGTTCATCCACTATACTGACAACAATAATATTGTACGCACCACGCCCACACACACACACACACACTGCCGCTGTTGACGGCTAACTGATTTCAGGTTCAGGATTTTAGTCAAATCTATGATTTTTTCTCTTCACAATATGTATATTTAGTATATGCGTAATATTATAGGATAGCCCCCCCCCACTCGCTGTTTTAATATGACGGCAGAAGGCGCGCGCATCAAATTATGTGGGCAGCGCTTTATCATTGTTTCAGCGGTAATATTTTATAATATTGAAAAAAAAAAAACAATGTACTCAAGTTAGTTTTTTCTTTTTCAATTTTTTATTTTACAAAAATGCACAATAGTCAATGGTGTTTTGGAGTTTTTTTTTTCCATAAATTATTACTTCTTCACAAACTTTTGTGACTCACAGTTACTTCCAAACGATAACATTTTACAAAATAGAAGAATTACACAGAGTCTCTCATTGAATGAGATGATAGGATAGCCACCACATGAGGAAGGGTTGAAGCGATGCAACAAAGAGAATGAAGTAGAGTCTTCGTTTATTCCCTGTTGCAGTGTATGATGTGTGCCCCTCGGGTATCACTCGTAGTTTAAGAGATCTTATGAGAAAAAATGCAAGCGATATGCTGTAGTATATGAGCACAGTATAATAACCCAATCGGCGAAAAATTAATGATAATAATAGAGCAGCATTGATACCAACGTATTTGTAGCCACAGTATGCTACTAAATCGAAAGTCCGTAGACTTGTTTCGAGATTCATAACGTAGAGTGTTATAGTGTGGATGAGAAGCTCTATTAAACCCCAAGCTAATGCTGAACTGGCAATTATTCCAAGTTGCTCTGGGCTGAACCGTTCTTGAGTTCCAAGGGATAAGCCTGCCATCACCACATATGTCAAAAATGCCATCGTTGGAATATACATGTCGGGAGCATTTTTCTCGTACCGCGGTTGAAGGGGAACATCTTGTTCATATTTCACCGACCAATCCTTGAAAAATTGACAAAATTATGAATAAAAAAGAAATTTCATAATGTTAAAATGCTTCCTCCCCCCCCCCCATTTTTTCACTTACTTTCTGAGTGAATGGAAAAATTAAGAGTGCTAATTTGACAAAAACATAATCAGTATCAACCGCAAAGTAATATTTGAGCGCTGTAACAGGAACGTATTTTTCAAATTGCTGCTTGCCAGTGCCGACCAGTGCATCTCCATACTTCATAGCCATATTAGCTACAAGGGGTTCATTAAGAAGTTGTGTCGCAAATTGAGGTCCAGAGAATCCACTGTCTTGAGGTGCTGTATTGACATTGGCATTGGAATTGACATATGGTGGCTGCATCGAACCAAGCTTCTGTGGTGATGATATTGTCGATGGATTGAAACCATACACTGTTCCGGCTGCTTCAGACACGTTAAAGCCATATTGTGGTAAACCATTGTTTGCATCGACCTATATCAAATCATTCAAATATTCATTTACATCCATTCATCTTGGCATCAAATACTTTTTTTTTGTTTTTTTACCTGTTGATTATTATATACATAAGGATTATTTGGCATCTGGGGAGGAGATGATGTGGATGTACCCACTGATGGATCTACGATTCTTTTTGGTTTTCCTATTGAGAAAAAAATCATGTCTTCCATTATTCTAATTATTATCCTATTATATGTTATATATTGCTTGGAGGTATATATATTGTCTATCTATAGCAATCTATAGTGTCAAGAGGAAAAACATAACCTCAAAACTCGTGTCCAAATTTCTTTGAATTGATGGAAATATATCAGTCAGAATAATAAATAAAGAGTCAAATTAAATGCGTAAAGTGCATGATATGGTCATTGATACTTATTATATGACTTACCCCTACGGGCTCCTGAGCCTCCTGAGTGATTGTAATTCATAATTTTTCTCTCTTATTTCCTTATCTCTGAGACAATTTACCGATTAACCGAGCTAACTCGGGAATATTATCGTCCAATATTGACAAACTAATTATAATTCTTCCCAGGTTCACAGCAAAAAATTCACAAATCATTTATTTTATTTTCTACAAAAATTAGTCAATCCACACGTCGGGAGGTCGCCATGTCCACACACTCCACACTCATTCATTTGTATATATGTAATAGCTGTATAGTGGTGGGTACCAACATATATCAATACATGGACTGAAAATTTCTAATTCCATCATTCCAAATTTGTTTCTTTATTTGATGATAATCAGTTTACATTTTCTATTCCTTGGAAAGGATATTTAACTCCAATAAGTGATTAATAATCATTCATAATCAATCATATTATAAACTTCCACGTCATACTATGCGTATTGTTATAGCAAGCACTTGGGCTTATTCGGTCTCGACTGTCAACATATATGTATATCGTTGTTACAATTATATGGAATTGAATGTACAATAAAAAAAATAATTGATACAAATAATTTTGACAAAGCTCTACCATTTATTTATTCACTTTTTTCCTAACTAATTTTATCTTTATTTAACCAGATACGCATTGATAGGCCTTTTACAAAGACACTGGGCTTATTGAAATTATATTTCCTAGTGCGCAAGCGCACTAGAAAAACATTTAAAGTAAGAACATTACTTATCACTCGAAAAATATTTCAATGATCAAATAAATATCGCTATATAATATTAATAAAATAATAAATATTACATTATTTTTAAAAAAATAGATGAAAAAAAAAGAGTTGATATTTGAAAAATCATCGATTTTATAAAATGAATTACATTTTAGGGATTTCACTAACAAATTTAAGGGAAAATCATTCTCTTGGTATAGGCGTATGTAATAAATATATATGTATAGGGATGAGCATATTCTGTGTTAAGCCTTCCTATGGACGAGGGGGTTTTGTGGTCTCCAATAGCAACCTTGCATTAAACCGGGGACTGCGCTGCCTGAAGAACAACGTGCGGCGTCTAACTGCCCTCAAGTGGTAGTATACCTATTCGCTATTTCCCATTTCTATTTGGACACCGGTCTCCTGTGCTTCATTCGTGTCCCTCTGCTAAAATACTGATGAAAAGCTTCGCAACAAATAGTCAACAAGTTGGGTGTAAAAAATATTTAAAAACATTTTATTTACAATGAATATAATACAACAACTAATGGTTTCTTCACCTCTGTAAGTATTTAACGACAATTTCTTATTTGTCTTGGAATAATTCAAGTGCATTAGATGTAAAAGTAAAAATATGAAGCAGGTCATGTCAATGATGAATTATTAAGAATAACGATTTTCAGTCATCGCAGATCAGATTGTAGAGCTATTAGCAAACACGTGCACGTGCGTTTGTGGCATCATCCAACAATTTTGTAGCTATATATAGAGTATCCAAACTATAATGTGTAAACGCCTACTTATCAACACTCATTGACGAATATCTATGTAGGTAGGTATAAAAAATTTCTTCTTTCCTTGCCATTATTACATATTCTATTATAATTATTTAGAACAAGGAATGAAAATGAATGAATTATTAGATTTGCCCTGAGAAGACACAATGAGAAATGCAGGTCAAGACACTACTGCAAGGTGTTGGATATGAATGATGACGATGTGGGATATGGATAGCGTGACAAGTGACGAGTAGAAATTTCAAAACGCAGAGACGGGGCGCAGTGTTTGAAAGTAGTTTAACCCTAATTATAATGAGGGTTGAAATTTTGTAAGTGGGCTACAGTTGCGTAAAAATTAAATTACATTTTGTAATTATATACAATGTCAACATCTTCTGGGATAAAACATTAATGTTTAATGTTTTTAATGTTTTGCTTATATGTATAAATCCTGAAAAAAAAAAGGAAAAGAGAAAAAAAAGTACAACTTGCGGAAAAGAGGAGTAATAAATTCAATCGGTGTCAAATGCAATCTTAATACTTGACGTGTTGACCTTGTCGTGCTCTCGGCTATTATACACACGATATACCGCCGCCGGGATTTTTGATCGTTAGCCAGTTGTTGTGACCCAGTGGTTACCATAGCATCTCAGTGACCTGGTCAATCTATAACCACGTGGTCAGTAACCAAAGCTGCTAGATTTGGTGATTCTACCATGGGAGCGATATTGTGTGTTGAGCGGGGGAGTGGCGGAGATTTCAAATCTTGGTTGGCCCAGATTTTCAAAGAGAGTCCACAATCATCAAATGAGGTCGGAAATGATATAATAATAGTTTATTCAATTTCCAGTAGTAGTTATTGTCGAGTGGACTGGTCGGGGAGCTGGCCTGCAATAATCAGAATGACTGGGCAATGCCATCACAGCAGTGTCACATGAAGAAAAAGCCCTGAGGAAGTTTGGTGAGGTGTGATACGGAGATTGGAATGGATACGAAGACACCACTGATACCGCTGAAGTATCAGGAGAAGAGACAACACAAAAAACAGGAGACTATTGTTGAACATTTGTTTCTACCACCTCTGGCCGGCGCTCAGCCCTCGAATGCCGCTGAACGTCAAAGGACAAATATAGATAATAATAAAAAGGTATTTGGAAATTGAACAATTTAATGAAACAAATGACAAATACTAAAATCAATTTTTTCAATGAGCACAAATGTTTTTCATCAACTCTAAAGAATTCAGATAAAAATTGGACGAATAGTGGTACTCCATATGTAGCCAACAATTCAGATCAACAATTAAATAGACCATACAGGTGGGCGAAATGTCATTAATTTGTAATGACATTATTTAAAATACTAATTGTAAATTCCAATGGTTTACTTGATTAATTTTTAGGGTCCTCCATATTGGTGCTACACCATTGATGCACGCCTGTCAACAGGGTGAAAGATCCCGAGTGCTTAGACTTCTCAAAGAGCAAGGAGATACAGTGAATTATCGCGATCGAACACTAAGAAACACACTTCATTACTGTATGGATGCAAGTACTGGTGGTGCTGTTGCATCAGCAGCACCGCAACTTGTTAATGCACCAGATGCTGAAGGACATACACCCCTCCATTTGGCAGTTATTGCCGGGGATACGCAGCTTGTTGCCGTATTGCTTGCCAATGGTGCCAATGTCAATGCCAAAGATCTTGAGGGACATAGTGTTTTACATTGGGCAACGGGTAAATATGGCACTTTTTTTTATTTTTTTTATTTTTTTTTTCAACTTATTGTCATTTGAGGTCAGTAGGTCACATGCAGTAGCCCAAACTCGGACATTTAGACTTTATTAGCATTTGGTATATCACGCGATGGCTGACAGTGAATAGTTTTAATAGGAAGAATAATTGATTCATCATCATCATCATCATCATCATAAAAAATGTATTTCAGTATGTGGTGAGGCAGAGTGTGTACGTCTAGTATTGGCGGCAGGGGCCAGGCCATCAACACCAGATCTTCGAGGTGGTTCACCACTCCATTATGCAGCTCAGTGTTGTGGTGCTGCAGTGACAGCAGAGCTCTCTGTGCCCAAAAAAGTGGGCTTAAAGGTGTTACATACTTTGTTAGAATTTGGTGCTGATGTCAATGCTAAAGATGAAGATGGTCGTCAACCAATTCTCTGGGCAGCCAGTGCTGGCAGTGTTGAAGCTGTCTTAGCACTTGTCAGGTAATTTCAATGTAAAATTTTTCAAACTTTACAATTTTGCCTAACCGCAATTAATCTTTACATATACAGAGCTGGAGGTTCTGCAGCTGCATGTGCCACTGATAAAGATGGCCTTACAGCGCTCCATTGTGCAGCATCCCGTGGCCATGCAAGATGCGTTGAAGCACTAGTAAACCTTTGTGGATCGCAGCCAGATCATGTAGACGATAATGGTTGTTCCGCACTTCATTATGCTGCGACTCTCGGTCATGCTGATGCAACGGCACTTCTTTTGCGACTTGGAGCTGATCCAAATAGACAAGATCGCAAAGGCAGAACGTAAATTAATATTTATTTATTCATTTTTTCTTATTGTTGTTTTTACCGTTGTGTTTCACAATTATTTCCCCAGGCCTGCACTTTGTGCAGCTGCAAAAGGCCAGTTAGAAACTCTAAAGATTCTTGCTCAGCACGGTGGTTCTCTCCATGCAAGAACTGTTAGAGGCACTGGCGTTGCTCATGAAGCTGTGCTATCAGGTCGTATTGAATTAATAGAATGGCTAGCGAAAAAAAAACCTAGCACATTGGATGTTGCCACTCATGATGGACGAACTCCTCTTCATGTTGCTGCCCTTCATGGCTATTTAGATATTTGCAAAGTACTTTTAGACCATGGAGCTAGAATAAATGCCATTTTCAAAACGATAAAGAGTGGCTCAATGACGCCACTGGATGCGGCATTGTATAGAGGGCATCGAGATTGTGCTAAACTCATTCAAATGCACGGGGGTATAACTGCACACCATGTATGGATGAATCGAACGACACCCAATAGAAGAGGTATGATTGCTTATTGGAAAAACGGAAAAAAAACGACAAAAAGCAAAAAATCATTTCCCCCTTTTTTTTTGTCCAACAGTTTTTGCAGCTAAAGTCAAAATTGAACGGTCTAATTCAACTTCTCCAAGTGACAGTGAGTCTCGACATCGTCGTCATCGAAAAGCAAATGTCTATATTGAAGAACGATGGATTGAAAAGCGAACTCGTAAGCATAATAGCACACCAAAAAAAAAGCATGAAAAACGTCGAGGCAGTAGAAGTTTCAGTGAAGAGGAAGTGCGACTTTCAAAAGACTCTTGTCACCAACGACCAAGACGTGCCAAAAGTGAATCATCGAGATATCAAGTTACTGATGTGGAAAGTACAACAACGTGCAGAAGAAAGTACTCAAAGCACGAATATAGTGAATCGTCAAGTGAAACAGATAATGGAAGCTCTGATGAAGAAGAAAATGCTGTCATTGAAAGGGAAATTCACCGAGTGCGGCGGGACAATAGTCTCATATCAGGTGACCCGAGTCTCAGTGATGATAGTTTGGAAGTTGTTGTGGTAAAAAGATCAGTGGAAAAAAAATCGGAAAAAATAAAATATTCTGATGGAAAATTGACAAAAAAGCCACGAGAAGCAACATGTAAAGAAATGAGAGTCAAGAGTCGGAGTTCACGAATAAAATGTCAAAGCGAAGATAAATTAAAATCAGTGTCCAATGGAGATACAAGAAGAAGAAAAAGAAGAAGAAGCAGACGAAGAAAAAATGAAAATAGTTGTTCAGGTGAAGACGAAGAAGAAGAAGAAAAAGTAGAAGAAGAAGAAGAAGAAGAGGGGAACAATTCCAAGGTTTCAATGAAACAAACAAAAGGAGAGTCTGAAGAGAAAATGAAAAAAGATATGACAGATAGCACTAGCCAAGAGACTGTGGAACGTGTAACAGTAACGGCTATAGTTCATAAGGATCAGCCACCGGATACTCCAATAATTGGTGTAGAAAGTAAAATTGAAAATAATGAGCAACAAGAGACATCCAAAGCAAAGATGTATTATATATTGGAGAAAGCTGATGAGATGCAGAATTCCCTGATGACAAAAGCAGCGGATATGAAAAGAGACGTTGAAGATATTCGTCGACAAGTAAATCAAGAGGCTTCTCATCCTTCATTGAACGATGATAATCAATATAATGAAGATGATAATTCCACACCCAAAGGTAGGGAAGAGACAGAGCAAGTGGATGTTTTTGTGAGCAATCCACCAGCAATCCCGCACATCCAACAAGAATTTTCACCGTTACAGAGTCAACCAGAGGACAACAATGCAACTAGCAGTGGCAAATTATCTCCTGTAGAACAAAAACAATACAAAGAGAATGACGAGAATGAGGAGAAAAAAGAACAAACAAATAATAAAAATGATGATAGTGTATCAATAAAATCAGCTATTGAGCACGGATCCAGCCCTTCCTCAACAAAAACCTGTAATTCAGAAGAAACAATTGAGCCAAATTATGTTATTAATAAAGATGAAAGAATTGAAAAAATTAAAAAAGTCACAGCTAACTCAGACTCGGAGAAAAATCAAATGAATGATCCATATGTTGAAAAGATTTCATCTGAAAAGATGGTCTTAAAAGATCAGGTAGAGCCTGATAAAAAGTATGATAGTCCATTTATTTCATCCAAGGATATGAAAAAAATGACAAATTCAAGACCATCAACAGCTAAGAGCAAAAGCGATTCTGGTGATAATTTATTTGAAAGTTCGGAAGAGCGTTCACCTGACCGTAGTGCAATTGTTGCAGTCATTGAAAGTCCAGAGTGGGATGAAGAAGACGAACAAGTTGCCAAGGAAATTCAAAATGTAGTTGAAAATAATACTGAGCTAGAGACAGAGCCTGAATATGACGATGAATTGGCAGTTTTAAGGGTTTTACCAAGTACAAGTGAAGAGGAAACGCCAAGGAAACCAATCAACTTATTGAGAAACTCTAAATTGGATGCACTAACTCGTGTCGGTATATCCATAAAAATAATCAAATATTTATGACAAATTAATTTAATATAACATGATTCAATGATTATTGAAATTTTTTTCATTCCAGGTGGATAATAAAAAAATAAGAGTGTCAAAGGAACGTCGTGATAGCGGAGGACGTGATAGTGGCATTGAACCGAGCCCTCGTATTTCAAAAATTCCAAAAAGAACTCTAAAATGCCATCCTAATACTGAGAGACAACAGACGCTAAATATGGAAACAATTCAACGTGACGTTCAAATTAATTTGCGACGATATCATCTCGAGAGAAAAATATTCTTTCAACTTATGGAATTGAAAAGACTTCAAATACGTCATGGAAGAGTGAATGAACATATTTTGATAAAACGACAGGCAAGTGTCTTGTATTGAATCTCCATATACTCCTCCTAAAATGATGTAATTAATAAATTTATATTAATTATTATTATTAGGTTGAGAGTTTTAATAAATCTGGAATGTCTGGACCAACGCTGGGAGTAGCTCGATATGATCAGCCGTTGACATTTAGGTTTGTGGAAAATGACAAACAATTTTTATTTTTCTACTTTTTCTTCTTCTTCTTATTATTATTATTATTGTTATTGATTTGGCATAATTATTGTGACATTTTTCAGGCATTTTGAGGGATATCTATATGAACAATTGCGACGTTTACAAAAAAGACCGGCAACGCCTGACTGGTGCACTGAAGCCAAACAGTGTACCCAAAAAACTCATCGCTGTCATCACGCTACAAGTGCTTATACATCTCTACCAATTTATACATATCGTAAGTTGAACAATTATTTTTATTAAAATTATATTGCACTACAATAATAATAATGATGATTGCAATTAAATATGCAATGAAAATATGGTAATCTCTGAGTAGAACTGACCTGCGTAGTTTGATGATAGATTATAATTGCAGTGGATGGAGGAGGCCGAGACCGAGAGGAAAGCACTCTTCTTCCGAGGATTGAGAATCGGGGGAAGGGTCAAATGACGGTAGATTAATTGTGCATTTAGTGGAGAGTAGAGAGGAGAGAAAGAAAGAGAAAAAAAAAACAAACCAAATTATAATTCACTAATTATCCTCAACTTTTTATCTTGTTGAAAACTAGGTTGAAGTTACCAAGGGTGAAGAGAAACAGGTGATTGCATTGCCAGCTGAGAAATTGGATCGCACAAAGCGTTACTTCATCACGTTTACTGTTAGAGGTGAAGCGCAAAATAGTGAGGTACTTAATGCTCCACGAAACGCACACAGAAATACAAAAAGTGTATAATAATATACTGCCAATGACATCAAATACAATCAATGTCTATATCTCATCCACTTGATTATATTTGAATTTTAAATATTAAAATACAACCAATATGTTGTTCAAAAAGGTCCTCCTCTTGTGGAGATTTGGGACCAGATATAATAACCCCGTTCATGACATTATATATATATCTTTGTGTTTTAATGTAATAAACAATAAAGTTGAAATAAATATTTAGAAAAAAGACAACAAATCACTCTCATTCTCTCTTTAAATCTAATAATTCAAGTACCATTAATTAAATGTGTTTATTAATAACTTGATTTTTCAAACTAATCTATAATAATAAGCCTTACATATATATAAAACAACTGGACTCGGTTCTTTTCATCAACTATTGATTTTGCATGACGTAGTTGTTTTCTCAGGTATATATGTAGTCAACGATAAGAGATCCATTTGAGTGATGTACCTTAGCTCTTGGTGTAATAAATAGCAATACTTCCATTTGTAAATAGATGCAAAACTACTATCTGTCTTGGATAATGTTGTTCATATTACGCATGAATAATGCCTCATTGTTTCGATGTATTTGTATGAATTCAGTCTCTTTATTGTACACTACGGAATTCATTCATCACTAATTGGAGTAAAAGCCTTCGCATGGATAAATGGCTTCAAGATAGAAAACTCTGGCTCTTTGGAAATACTCTACCGCTACTGCCAAGAAGGTCTGTTATTTTTTCATTATCCATTTGTCGATAAGCACATTGTTGGTGTTGTTGTTGTTGTTGTCATCATTGTCAATTTCACATATGCTGCTGATGTAGAGGTGATATACAAGATACTTTGCTATTTACTCGCAATATTGAAAAAACTTTATAATGTGGAATGAGTTTCAATATTAAGGCATGATTTAATTGATCGTTGACATTAACCAAACCGTTGTGTGGGACCTTGATAGTCATGTCAACTCGTCGTACCTTCACATTATTATCGATCATATATGGTTCAGTTATGGTAAGTATGTAGAGACTGCGTGTAGCCTGTGTATAACCGAGTTTATTAGTGTTACTTGATATGTTGCCGAGTAAGGAGTATATTTCAAAGATCGGGCCATGAATTTCATGCTCGAGATGCTGTAAGTTTTTAAAAACCTGTAACCTGTATGTTTTAAAGTAAATTTTTCCCACTTTTTTTCAACCATTAAAAAAAATTTTTTTTTCTTTATTTATTCATCACGTAGTAGTTGTAACTTTTACATGACTGGCCTGATTTCATTAAATTCACGAAAGAAAAGTCGGTGAATCATGAATTTGGATGATGGGGCGCCGCGCGCGCGCCAACTTTTGTTCACTCCAGGTATCTCCTTATCAATTCAAGGGGCTTGTGACCCCTGGTCAATGGTGAGAACAAGGATAGTCAGTCTGTGACATGCTCTTTACACAGCAGTTTGCATTGCCCTGCCTAGGAAGGCATAAGAAGTCGGTATTCGCCCCTCCCCGCCCCTTATTCCCGAATAGAAAACAGAATTCCCTCTCAAACATTGAAAATTTAATAGAACAATAAATAGAAAAAAAATACTATACTAATACTAATAATAATAAATAGCAATAATCATTGGATTTTCAGGTCTCGCGCACCAAGCAAGACGATGGAAAGATACGAAAGACTGGCACGGCTTGGAGAGGGCAGCTATGGGGTTGTTTTCCAATGTCGTGATAGGCAGACAGGAAAGTTAGTGGCGGTTAAAAAATTTCAACAGACGGAAGACGATCCACTTATTCGGAAAATTGCTCTTCGAGAAATTCGTTTATTAAAGGTAAAATAATTTTTTTGTTGGATTATGAAGATTTTCATATTTTGCGCATGCGTAAAAAGTATGCGGAAGGTGATTACTTTCACATACTATACAGAGCCATAATAATAAGAGGGTGATGGTGGTGGTGGACGTTGGTCAATAATAGTGGCAGAATGGTAATACCGCTCAATATGTTGGCCTGTTGCCGACCTGTCCAGGAGGGATGCTTTATCTCAAAGAAATGGCTTATGATTTTTTTCATTTACAAACCAATTCCCATTAATTTTATACATTTTTTTTCTACTCGTCATTTCAGAATTTAAAACATCCAAACCTCGTTAATTTATTAGAAGTATTTCGGAAGAAAAGAAAATTACATCTAGTATTTGAATACTGCGAGCATACTCTGCTCAATGAAATGGAAAAATATCCCCACGGCTGTCCAGAGCATCTAATACGACAGTTAACTTGGCAAATACTTCAAGGAGTGGCATATTGTCATAGATTGGGCTGTGTTCATCGGGACGTCAAGCCTGAGAACATTCTCATTACTGCAGACGGTGTAGTGAAGCTTTGTGATTTTGGTTTTGCACGGATGTTGAGCCCTGGCGAAAATTATACAGAATATGTGGCAACTAGATGGTACAGAGCACCAGAATTATTGGTAAATTGATCAATATATAGGTACTATATATATATATATATATATATATAGGTGGAAAGAAGAAATAAACCAACTTAATATCATAATATTCAGGTGGGTGATACTCAGTATGGTACTCCAGTTGATGTTTGGGCAATTGGCTGTGTTTTCGCTGAATTAATCAGAGGGGAAGCTCTGTGGCCGGGAAAGTCTGACGTAGATCAATTATACTTAATCAGAAGGACACTGGGTGATCTTTTACCTCGGCACATGACAATATTCCAGCAGAATGAATTTTTCGCTGGAGTTATATTACCCACTCCTCAAACATTAACACCCCTCGAAACCACTTTACCCCTTACCACCAGTACTCCAATGCACATTGACTTACTCAAGAAATGTGTCGATAAAGACCCTGAGCAGCGATGGGCATGCGATCAATTATTGCTACATGTTTATTTTGAAAATTACGCTTTTAAATTCCCAGATGGTGAGATGCAAGAATTCGACAAGTTGAAAAAATATAGAGATAATAGACCGAGGGTAAGTATTATCAAAAGGAAACTATATCATGGATCATGGAAATGATTGTTCATTTTCAACTGTCGCATTTCAGAATCCAACTACTACTACTACTACTGCTACTACATTCAACACCATGGTTCTCCCACAGCTTATTACTTCCAAAGGTGCTGGAATTAACAATCAACACGACCGTCCAAAGAGCTCTTCTGTACATCAACATCATTTCGATCATTTACCCACAATTCGTGGTTGTAATTAGCAATTTTATTCATTATTTAAGAGTTGCGATAATACACAACTCTTTAAAAAAAAGTGGCCGTAAATAAACTGTATATTTCATCAAGTCGTTATTTATTAATAATTATGTTTTCAGTTGCTGTAAGATTTATCAATTAATTACACGAGAAGAAAAATATACTACATCTAGAAAAAAGCCGTTCTAAGCCTAACCATATAACCTTGCTTAATATGAAATGGATTAAACCAAAGACAATAAGTCAATCTCTTATTCTTTAAGGTCAAAATTAAGTGATATATCAACCAATATCATATGTTCTATTTATATATTAAATTGTAACAAATCTCCACCTTTACAAATTCAATTGTCAATTGGATTTTATATGCGATACTCATTTATTAAACAAATATGAGCGCTCGCCAGGTTTTTTTTTTTGACACTACAAAGATTATTTGTTGAAATTGTTTGCTACGAGTACATTGTATTTTTATCAAAATCCATACATTGATCGCTTCTCCACTACTGCAGTTTATATATATATATATATATATATATATAGTGCTAGAATTTCTTTCATCATCCACCGCCTGTAAGCGCCCTGTGATATTCCCCAGTAATATGTGCGAAGAACACCCCTTTTTCTAAATCCAGCTTTCTTTGGTTTGTTATTTTTTATTAATTTTGTTTTCAAAAGAAACATCTATTGCGTAGAGAAAAAATACGGTTAGAACTGTAAAATGTTTAAAATATTGTGCCCGCTTTGATTATTCTACTTGCCTCATTTATCTTATTGCATTCCTCATCTCACCATTTGATCATAATAATTTATTTGGCATAAATCATTAACCACACTTAAACATGTTGCAAATAATATAATATATTATATTATTAAAACCCACTGCGAGTAATTGATGTATAAATACAAGGTAATGCCTAATGCTATAACGTTAGCCGGTAATCCAAAAATAAAGTGATTTCGTAATTTCAGACAGTGAAATTGCAGTCAAATCAAACATTTACGGCGTGTGCATCGATAATTGTATCAGTGAGTAATTAGCTATGAAATCTGTGAAATTGTCATCGGGATATGAAATGCCAACAGTGGGCCTTGGCACGTGGCAGGTAAAATTTGTTAATCATAGCAGTATATTAAATGATAATAATGATAATAGCTGTACTGTACTTTATAAATTTAAGGCAAAACCTGAAGAAATCGAAAGAGCAGTTGCAACTGCACTGGAGAATGGTTATCGACACATTGACACTGCCTTTAATTATAACAATGAGGATGTTATTGGGAAGAGTCTAGAAATATGGTTGAATAATGGAGGAAGCAGAGAAGAGTTATTTATCACAACAAAGGTCCAAAGCGGCACTATTATTTAGTCATTAATACTCGAATAGTAATAGTAATTTTTTCATCATTAATGTAATCTTTTAGTTGCCTCACTATGGAAATCGAGCATCAGACGTGGAAAAATATGTCAATTGGTCATTGGAGAAATTGAAATTGGATTATATCGATATGTACTTGATTCACATGCCCTTTGCCTTTATCAGTGATGCCAGTGGTTGTGCACCTCTACTTCACGAAGATGGTTCATATCAACTTGATTTTGACACTAATCCTATTTCTGTTTGGAAGGTAAATATATTTCATTCAAAGTGAATAAATGATAGAAATGATATTATATAGCTCGTGTTTTTCGTTTTCTTTTCCCTTAAAGGAAATGGAACAACAAGTGAAGAAAGGCAAAGTCAGATCAATTGGGCTGAGTAATTTCAATGAAAATCAAATTGATCAAGTATGGAATAACGCAGAGATAAAACCTTGCAATCTTCAGGCAATATTTACAACTCTACTTTTCATTCAATTATACATTTACATTTATTGTAAATAAATACTAATAATGTTATGTGTTATGGTTAATTTAAAGGTGGAACTGCATGCATACCATCAACAAAAATCTCTAAGAAAGTTTTGCACTAGTCGCAATATAGCCGTAACAGCGTACAGTCCTCTAGCATCTCCAGGTGCTAAAATTCATTTTCAAACGAAATACAACTACAATCCTGATAAATTCCCAGATCTTTTGGGACACCCTGTTGTTGAAAAAATTGCCAAGGCTCACGATAAAACAACAGCACAAATTTTACTGAGGCACTTGGTGCAACAAAATGTTATTGTAATTCCAAAGAGTGCCTCACCTCAAAGAATTGCCCTTAATAATAATATATATGATTTTGAGTTGAATTCAGATGAAATGAGCGATTTGGATGCCCTAGATCGAGGTGCTGAAGGACGAATTTTTACATTTTTATTTTTCAAAGGGTAAATATTATTTTTATTGCTAGTATTAATGGAAAATTTAATAATGTCCTGTTGATTTACAGGGTAGAGAAACATCCGTTATATCCCTTCAAGGATGAGTTACAATGAATCGTAGAAAAGCAATAATTAAAAAAAAATAAAAATAAAAATAAAATAAAATGATAAATATAGTAGAGAATGAGATATGAAATTAAAGTAAATAATAATAATAATAAATTGTTTAAATCATCCTGTAGAGCATTTTTCTCTGCATCCGATGTTGCAACTCACCTCGACGAATCATAGTGTAGATGACTTTGTAAATAGATCTCTCTGGATATTTTTGTTTGAGAAAATCACTGACGATATTTTGTTCTGAAACTTGAGTACCAACGGCAAATCTGCGTTTGAGTTGTTTCTCAATTCGTGCAAGAATCTCGTGATCCTCCTCAGATGTGAATCCCTCAGCTCCAGCGAGTGAACCAGTCATTGCAGCATCAAGTGTCGATACTTGAAAGAGTCTGAGGGCCTCATCAACATGCACTTGAGTGGCAAAAGATTCCAAATGCATTTTAGCAAGGGATTCAGATATTCTAATGACTGCTTCCAATTGTCTAACTGTTATAGGAATTGACATCCTTTTCTCAGTATCTTTCTCATGTGCATGGGTCCCAGCGCGCATCATAACGTAACGATTTTTCAATTTTTCCCCGGCTTCTTTATTTAATCGTGGACCACATCGAGTTCTACAGTAATGAATATACTTCTTGAGAACATTCAATGGCAATTCACCTTCTGATAATTGTTCAGTCAATTGTCCAGCATTAGTATGTAGTCCCATAACATGTTTAGCCAACGTAATATCTCGATTTTGTTCGTGTTCATCTTTAACGATAAAAATCATATCAAAACGAGAGAGAATAGTAGGCATAAAATCAATATTCTCTTCTCCCTTTATGTCGTCCCACCTTCCGAAAATTGAATTGGCAGCGGCTAATACTGAACATCTGGTATTTAGTGTTGTAGTAATGCCAGCTTTAGCGATAGAAATGGTTTGTTGCTCCATTGCTTCATGAATAGCTACTCTGTCGTCCTCTTTCATTTTATCAAACTCATCGATACAAACAATTCCACCATCAGCTAACACCATTGCTCCACCCTCCATAACATAATTACGACTGACTGGATCACGCATTACAGAAGCAGTAAGCCCAGCAGCTGAACTACCTTTTCCAGATGTATAAATTCCAATTGGTGCTACTCTTTCAACAAACTTGAGAAGTTGAGATTTTGCTGTTCCTGGATCACCCAAAAGAAGAACATTTATATCACCTCTTCTGCATAGACCATCAGGCATTCTCTTTCTCGAGCCTCCAAATAGCAGACAGGCAATGGCCTTTTTTATATCTAAAGCCCCAAATATACTTGGAGCAATGCTTTTCGCTATCTTATCGTAGACATCTGGTTGAGCTGCTAAACGCCTGAAGGCATCCTCATCTTCATTGGTCAATGGTGGATGAGTTCCGCTGCCATTATCATCACCATCCACAGATATACCAATGACCCTTATATAGGGTGCACGAACCCCAACAAATGCCTTCTCTTTTCCAGCCCGTCTTCCCCCCGATCCTGACACTTTCTTTATCGAATATATACCGAGAATGAGGACTCGATTTCCTGGTACAACACGATCGCAGAGATAACGATCACAGTACAATTGCAAGTGTCTTGGCATTTCACCTTGGGGAATTTGATCTGGAAGTTCCTGAAGTTTGACAACTTGAAAATCAACGCATTGACATTGATCGGGCATCACGAAGAAGGGATCTAGAGGACATTTTGCTCTCCCTGCTTGCTCCCTAACCCATTAAATAGCATTATTATTATTTCAATTTCAATTTTTACAATTCAACACAACTTACGTTGAGCATTGTCGAGGCAAAGCATATCCCTCTAATCCAGGCTTAATTGGAATGTTGTTTTGAATAGTTCTGCATGCTCTGCACTGAATTGCAATTTTCGTTGCCTTTGATCTGATGCCTGAGGCAGCAACAATTATTCCTGGGATTTTTATGAGTTTTGAGACAATATCGGGCTGCCATCAAATAAAAATTCCATTAATATAATAGCTTATATAGTCAATATAGTCTTTATTATTATTATTATTATTTACCTTGAGACCCCGAAGTCCTGATGCATGCCCATCTGATGACAAAAGAATTTGAATGTCCTCAACATTCTCCTCACCGCTGGGTCTCGGGGCAGTCAATTCATCGGCAACATCTTTGGCAGCCTCTTCAAATACTGGCAAATACTCGGTTGGTTGTTTATAAATTTTCTCAGCTAAACTCTCATCAAAAGCCGCCAAATCTTCAAGATTTATCGCCAACCAATACTGACCGAGATTGTAATTACGTTTGAGAGAATCTCGGTACTTGTAATTGAAATTACCCTCGTGAAATTGTCTTATGAACTCTTTATATTTTTTCTTGAATGATTGGAGTTTTAGCTGGTCTTCTCGCGTGTCATCCGTTGAGAAATTATCCGAGAAAAATATCTGGGGCTGATCAAAATCATTCATTATTATTTATTTTATAATATAATTTATTATCAACACTCAAAAAGCACTAAATGATTTTATATATTGATAAAGATCAAGACTTTATTATAACCACACAACAACGTAGCACGTAGCAACAATTATAACACCTAACAACGCCTATTTTGGCGGGAGTTGGTGCTCTCTAAAATCTGTTCATATCGCCATCTAACAAGTATCATTTGAATTGCATTATTGACCAGTTGTTGGTTGGGTTGAATGAGTGGGAATCATAACAAAATTCAAATAAAAAATGGAGCTTTTTTTTTTTTAAAAAAAAAAAAAAGAAAACATGATAATATGTAAAGTTTGTTTAAAAATTATCATATTCTGAACAATTGGCCCGTGGTTGAATGCTTGGAGGTGAAAAAAAAAAAAAAAACTGCCAAAGTTTTTCAAAAACCGGTTCGTAGAAGTCATCGAGGTTGACAAAAAAAAAAAATGGGTGGGAGAATTTCAATAGAACGTATATATATCAAGACATATAGTGAATATAAAAACAGTCGAGCTCTGGTAGCTGGCGTCTTGAGAAGGCATTTTACGGAGAGAATGACGTTTTCGTGAGTATTATCAAGAGATGAAGATATAAATAATTCCTTTAATGTGTTACAGCAGCACTTGCTAGTTTACACTTTTCGATTCTTTAGAAATGTCTTCTTACGTCAAATAAAATACTAACTATCTATTATATTATATGATTGCAGCTTCTCAATGGTTGTTTTCATAATCTTGACCTTGACCTCTCGAATAATTTCAAACGGTCTCGCCGCCGCTGTGCAGGATAAAGTAAGCATCACCACTTATACTAATAATTCGATATTATTGGCACGTGCAACACAACTGTTGAATAAAATTGATGGTGAATATGGCCAGTGGAATAATAAATTAACCCTAGCCTCTTGGGAGTATGCGTCAAATTTAACAGATGCCAATCTTGAGAAACAACTCAATGTTTCGGCACAGTTTGCAAATTATGTGAGACAAATGACCATGGAAATCAATGATTTTCCATGGCATACTATTGAGGATAAAAAAATAAAAAGACAATTTAAAAAACTTTCGAGCCCTGGAGCATCGGCCCTGTCCAAGGACAAGTATGCTGAGTACAGTGAGATCACCAGTAGAATGGAAAACATATATGCAACAGCTAAAATATGTGACTTTGAAAATCCATTCAACTGTAATTTGGCATTAGAGCCCAACTTGACAGAAATATTAATAAAGAGTCGTAATCCTGATGAACTAAAGTATGTGTGGAAGGCATGGAGAGACGCAAGTGGAAAAAAAATGAAAAATTACTTTATACGATACGTTCAACTGAGCAATGAAATAGCGAAATTGAATAATTATACTGATATGTCTGCATATTGGTTGAAAGATTATGAGGCCGATGATTTCACTGAACATATTGAAGCCCTGTGGCAACAATTAAAACCCCTCTATTTAGAAATTCATGCATATATTCGACACGCACTACGTTTAAAATATGGAGAGGATTTAGTCCCCAGGGATAAACCAATTCCGGCACATCTTTTTGGTAATATGTGGGCACAAAGTTGGGCAAACATCGCGGATATGGCAACTCCCTGTCCAGGTAAACAACTGCCAGATGTTAGTGATGCAATGGTTGAACAAGGTAAGAATTTGCTAAGGCTGCATTTAAAATATTTTTTTTTTTTTTTTTTTTTTTTATTATTAGGTAATGATGACGATACCATTTACATTTAACAATTCACATTATATGTATAATCCAATAGGATTGAATGCGACCGGTATTTTTCGCATAGCAGAGGATTTTTTTACTTCTGTTAATCTCAGCGCAATGCCCGATAAATTCTGGAAGAATTCCATCTTAGAAAAACCCGACAATGTTGAATTGGTTTGTCATGCAAGTGCTTGGGACTTTTACGATGGCAAAGATTTTCGAATAAAACAATGTACAAGAATTAATATGGAAGATTTGTTGACTGCCCATCATGAAATGGGACATGTACAGTATTTCCTTCAATACAAAAATCAACCAACCGTTTACAAGGAAGGAGCTAATCCAGGATTTCACGAGGCAGTGGGAGACACTATTGCACTGAGTGCATCAACTCCAGAGCATTTTAAAAAAATTGGATTGCTTGAGCAGGATGCATCAACTGACAAAGATGCTCTCCTCAATCATCTTTACATTACTGGGCTTGAAAAAATAGTCTTTCTTCCCTTTGCTTATATGATGGACAAGTGGCGATGGGGTGTCTTTCAATCGCACATACTTCCTGACACTTACAACTGTCAATGGTGGAATCTGGCTGAAGAATTCCAAGGTATTACTCCACCTGTTCCACGAAGTGAACAAGATTTTGACCCTGGTGCAAAATACCACATAATTGCTAATGTCGAGTACATTAGGTACTTTGTCAGCCATGTAATCCAGTTTCAATTTCACAAGGCGCTCTGCATTCATGCCGGACAATATAATCCATCAAATATAACGGCCAAATCATTGAGCGAGTGTAATATTTATGGAAATGTCAAAGCTGGAAATTTATACCGGTATTTATTAGCCAACAACAGGTATTAATTATTAATGCGACCTATTCTCTTCAAACTTCAACTAATACATCTTATATTTTATATCTTAGATCCATGTTAGAGCTTGGATCTTCGGTGCCGTGGCAAGATGCTATGGAAAAAATGACCGGCCAAAGGAAAATGGATGCTAGCGGGCTTTTGGAATACTTCAGACCTTTGCAAATGTGGCTTGAGGCTGAGAATAAAAAGAATGGCGAACACATTGGTTGGACAACAAGTAACAAGAGTAAGTTGATCCAAGACATGTATTAATTTATTTGAAATATAATTTCCACGTAATTCACTGATTTTTTTCTTTCTCATTTCAGTTTGCACAGCAAAACACTAGACTAAAAGTTTACAATGATACAGTACATAGAAAAACTATCGAGATAATATTATTTCGAAGAAAAAAAAATCCAACTTTTATTCAATATAATAACTTTTCGATAAATATAATATAGCAAAGGAAATTTTTACCAATTGTAAGACAAAATGAAACAACTTACTATTGATGATATCTCTTTTGTCTGTAAAGTTGGGTAAAATTTTACATACTTTATTTTCCACGTCCTCGGCCTCGTTTACTCGCTGGTTTCATCTGACTCTTGCTCGTGGACGCAATGGCCTTACTTGTAATTGGTTTTTTAGCCTAAAATAATAATCAATCAGAGCACGAATATCATTAATTAGACAGAGTAATAAATAAATAAATAAAATTACAAATTTCTACCTTGATCATTTTATCAACATCGAGACTATTGTTTTCTGCATCAGAGTCCTCATTGATATTGGCATCATCATCATTATCATTATCCTCATCATCATCAATAAATCCGTCGTCCTGAGTAGCTTGGCCTTTTTTCTTAGATACAATTGCTTTAACAACAAATGGTACTGGTGCTGAATGCTTATTGTAAGCCCGTGTAAAAGCAGCTTTAACTTTAGATTCAATCGACTGCATAGGATCATGATCTCCAGGCCACAAAGAAATCTCAATTATTGAATCTAAATCCTCTCTCAATAGATGATAGTGATTCATAATTTCCAATGAGTGCTCAACACCCTCAGCGCCTTCAACAACTAGTGGCATGGTAATGGCATTCCTCAGAGATTTCAAATAATCCATATTGATAGCTTCTTTACTAGCACCCGTAACTAATCGCGTATGAGCTGTAATTTCTTGAAGTAGTCTGTCAAATTTATTGCGCCTAGAATTTTTGCCAAGCCAAGTTGGAAAATTAATTTGACTTGCAATGCGGCCAGACATTAGAGTACCAGGTATAACAGAAGAATAGCATGCCTGCATGGGTAAAAGAGACCAAGCCATTTGTGAACGAATTGCTTTTTCCACTTGATCACCTAGGGACAAAGAGTCTGCACTTGCTGCTACTATATCCAATAGTTGGTTGTTTGGTGCTTTTGGAATGACAGATAAGTAGTTTTCTTGAACAAATAGACCAGCAATATTGTAATCGTGAAAAAAAAGATCACTTTTATCGTGAATTGTCATGCTCTTGTGGTCTTCAGCGTTGAAAACCTTTCTTACCACTTCCCAAGGTCCGAGCTTAAGATCTTTATTCAACTTGGATGATTTGTCAGATTGATTTTCCTTAATAATACTATCTGTATCTCCAATCAGCATGGCAAGATGATTGATCACTTGTCGTATATCTTGATTTGTGGCTTCAATCAGTCGATTTAAATCCTCATTTGATATTTTAATATTTTCTTTGCAACATAGAGACTTCATGGCACCTCTTATTTGCTCGACTCTAGGCTTTTGAAATCGCAAGTCAAAAACATAATTGGCCAAAGTTCTCATTTTTGGATTATTTCTGTCATTGCAAATGCATACAATTGGAATATCTGTTGATTTAATCAGAGCAATTAATTCTTGAAGGCCACCACGATCCTCATTACCCGCCATTCCATCGACCTCGTCCATGAGAAGAACGTGCTTGCAGCTAGGTTTCTCCTCGGCATTACCAGTGAAATATCCCTTCATCGTTGTATTGGAAAGCAATCCAGATACTTCGTCTTTCAATAATTTTTTACTTCGAGTATCTGAAGCATTAAATTCCAATAAGTCAAAGCCCAATTCCTTGCAAACAACTTGTACACTTGTTGTTTTTCCAACACCTGGTGGCCCTGACAAAAGGCAAGCCTTGTAATAACCACCGTTATCATTTTTAGCGTATAATGATGGTTTTGTATGTTTAACATTGCTAGAACGATTCTTATGCCAATTTAATAACCAATTGTACAACTTTTTAGCATTACTACTCTCTCCGTGTTGGCCTATTATTTGCTTCATTGTTGTTGGTCGATACTTTTCAACAAGGGCCTCTGCATTACTAAAGTATTTTGAATCTTCCATTATTTTCAATTCTTCTTGAGGTTGCTTGGGTGAAATACTTTTGGATTTGGGTGAAGAGGGACATTTTTCTGGAGAAACTTTACTGTACTCTGGTGACTTATCTTTCTTTCTTTCTTTGTTGTGAATTATATCGCGAGAATTACCAGGAGGTTTTTTACGAATTAGATCGAGTAATTCATCCTCTGATATTTGTTTAATTTTCAGTGCTATTGCTTTTGCTAGTTTGGATTGGCCGGCCTCTTCACCCACCACGATGTAATTAATTTTCTTGGAAATTCCCGCTGTCACACGTCCACCATACTTTTTTATTAAATCACTAGCTTCTTCTCTTTCCAATGATTCAAACACACCAGTAAGCACGAAACTCAAACCTGCCAAACAATTTGGCGCTCCTTCTGGAATTGGTTTTGAGCCAGGATTTCTTGCCCCACCTCTTGCAAGATAAGCTTGATACAATACTGATGATTGCTTCTTCTTCATTGCTCGTTCCTCCAAAAAAGTCACTTCTTCCTCTTCCGAGGCGGCCTTTTTCTTTATTTTTTTCTCCTCACGATTTATTTCAATATTTGAAGTACTAGTTATTTTCGAACCTACTGCCTTCACATTATGAAACTTGAGTTTCTTGGATGAATTACTCTCATGACTTTTGGTTGCATTATTGGGGCTTATTTTGGGTGAAACATTTTTCATTCTACTATTTTGAGCTTTCTCCTCTTTAAGATGATCATCACCACCATCAGCAGCATTTTTTTGGAGTTTGGGCTTTTTCGTACTTGTATCATCATCCTCACTATTAGGATCCTTCTTCCTCTTGCCACTTGTATTATTTTCCTGGATTCCTTCTTTATAATAATTTGCTTCGATTGCTTTAATGTCCAATTTATTCAAAGATTCCTCAAAATCCACATCTTCATCATCATCATCATTATATTGTAAATCTGACTTTTTCTTATTCTCATTATCTGGGAGTGATTCTTTTTTAGGAACATTGACTCTTTTCACTGGAGTTTTTCCAAGCATAGTACTAATATCGACTCTTTTTATTTCACGCTCCTCCTCCTTGTCTATCTTTTTAATACTTGATGAAGAATTTTTCTTACTCGTTACAGCACTGTCATCTTCTGAATCGGAGAGAATCTGTTTCCTAATTAACATCTTCTTGATAGATTTTTCATTTTTTTTGCAATCAGCAATTTTTATATCATCCTCCTCATCGGATGATATCACTGCTCGTTTTTTCACATTTCTTGGTTTGGCATCATTTTTCGAGGTTTGTCCTCTGGGAGATTTCGTAAAATAACATCTGATATCCTGAAAATTTATTAAATTGTCAATTGATGAAAATATACTAACCTCACATATAAAACATTCATGATTCCATATAGAAATATATTTTAAAAAAAATATATATATCGCCTTACCTTTGACATTGTTTTTTTTTTAATAAAAAAGAGCAAAAATTTGGTTTTGTTACACGCAAGTTCAATACTTATGACAATTCACCGGCTAATGTATCATTGCATTGCCATAAAATACGTTACATTTTCAAACAAAGAGTAATCGAAATCGCAGCCCCGGAAGGGGGGGGGGGCTTAGTTCTCGTTAATGGAGTGTATACTGCCATCTCTCGAAGTAGAATGACAATAGCTTCTACTCTCTACCGACACTTACCGATCGTAGAACTCATTGGCTACTTTTTGGAAATGGACGCAGTTGTTCCATGTGATTCTCACTAGAGCATGTAGACCGATCGTGGGCTGCCGTGGAAATGGACTACTGCGGAAAAAGAAACCAAGCTCCCCCATCCATCATTTTATCGCAATTGTGTTTATTTATATTTATTATTGATATTCATTACTATCAACTATAAGCATTAAGCTTGGTGAAATTTTGATAAGCCTGTATTTTCTTGACATTATTTGTCCATTACAATTAACAATTGAAAATCGTTTTATTCAACGTTACAGGTGAGATATTTACGTGTGTGTTTACTTGGTTATTAATGTCATTACACATAGTCTAGAACTCAGGATATCCTCAGAACTTCTATTATTCATTGAAAAAAAAAAAAAAAAGATGAAATGCTATTTTCTAACGTTTCCCTGAGTTAGTTGTTATGCATGTAGAAATTTATTACCGATGATATAAACTTGGCCGTGTATCATGTGAGTGATGATAACAATAATAATAATAATTGCTTCGATTTGCCTGACAGTTGCTATGTCAAATGAGGAGCGTCTTCGTTCTCTCCTAGCTGATTTGGGGAAAGCAACTCTACGAGGTGTGAAAAAGTGTCCAAAATGTGGCACTTACAATGGTTCACGAGGACTCTGTTGTAAAAACAAATACTGCGATGCAGTCTTCAAAGAGCCAGGAGAAAAAAGAAAATTGTCAACAGAAGCCTGTAAACTCATAACTGGATCAACAGTTCAGGTTTTTTCAGTACGAGTACGTGACAAAGGTCCCGATTATCGAGGCTTCGTTCAACTGCCGTTGATCAATGCCACTGCAATGTCCAATGACATGAATACTCTTATTTCGCAAAGCACAGCTTTATGTTTCGTTGACAGTTGTGAGAGGAGCTTTGACACAAGTGTTTTAAAATGTCATGAAAAAAATTCGTCCGATATCTGTATTTCCACTTGTCAACATATCCAGGCAGCCCTCAGGTGTTACGCTGAGGCTCAACCTCTCACCCTGAGAAATTCAATTCTATCATCGTTAAATGTTAACAACGAGACGAAGCAGGAAATTTGGCTACTAGCGACTGAAACATCTGGGCCTCTTGTTCAACGTGTTTCCAAAACTATCATGGCTGTCAAGTGCAAAGCATCACCCAAACATCCTCTCGGTTATCTACATTTTTCATTTTACACTACTAAAATGAAGGAAAGGATAGAGCACAGATACTTTTGTAGTTGCACTGCTTTCAAAGTAAGACATAACATAACAATATATAGTCTAATTTAATTTTTTTCATATTAGTCAGTAATAGCATAGGATTTATTTCATCTTGTTATTTCCAGGCAGGGCCTAAGGTAATAGAGGTAAAGGGCGAGGAACAGTCTGGACAGGCGAGACGTTGTGCTCATTTCTACGCATGCATTTGTGCCTTTGCTAGTGATCCTAAATTATCAGAAGAGTTTAGATATTATATTAATCTAGATGAGATGGAGTTGAGAATTGAGAAGAGCCTCTGTGTACCTTATCAGTTTCAACCACTTGAAACTGATAAGATTATTGGAATGGGTAAAAAGAAAAATGATAATATGTCATAACTAATTGATTTATTAATATCATTAATATATTTTTTGTATACAATTTTTCTCATCAATTTAAATTACAGATTTGGAAAACCTAACTGATGATACTCATCTCCTGATATTCCGCGACGATACCTTGACAGTGCAGAGTTTAGATGGCAATAGATTGGATATAGACACAATAAATCTCGATGCAACAATTTTACCCAATAGCATCGTCGAGGGAATTGATGTAGACTGTGAATCGGCGGCAGCATTCCTCGACAATAGTAACAACATTATTTCTCCCGTTGATGATATCGATATTGTTGATCAAAATAGAATGATGAATACGAGTACGGTAACAATAGTTGAGGATGAATCCAATGCTAAATATAATCTAACAACAAGTGTTGATTATTTGGAAGATAACAATGACAATCAGGCAATAAAATTGTGGAATACTGGTTCAATAAAAATATTGGATGGAAGAAATTCATTGCTGGACAGTGGAGTGAAAATTATCGACAACAACACTGATATAATCAACTGTGATAGAGAAATGACATTGCAAATGATGAACAATATTCAGCCACACTCAGCTAAGAGGAAGCGGGATCATGTATCATTGCCTAAATTGTGTATCAACAATTTAAATTCTATTGAAACGAGAAAAGGAAAAACTAAAGCGACAATTATCAAAAAATATCACAATTCATGCGACAATATGGACGAGGGAAATACCAATTTGTCATTCATCAAATGGCTAGGATCAATAACTGAAAGGATTAATCAAACAATGCATTTTCAGTTTGATGGAAAACCAGAACCTCTGGTCTTCCATGTTCCACAGATATTTTTCGACTGTCTTCGCGAGCGAATATCGTGTGGTGGAAAGAAAAAACGACTGCCAAATTCTACCACAGCCTTTGTCAGAAAAGATGGAGTACCCTTGGGGACATTTACCAAGTATACATGGCAAATTACTAATATTCTTCATGTCAAGAGTATATTCGATACACCTGTAATACCACTCGAAATAACAAGAAGCTTTCTACAAAATTGTGATGGCACATACGAGTTATATAAACGAGAAGAATCAGAGATTGATCGATACAAGAAAACGGGCAACAATGCCCTTATTAAACCATTGGAGTTGAAAACATATCTTAAAGTTGGTGAGAGCCCATTCAATTCACTAATAATTCAATTATTATTGTTATTGTTATTGTTATTGTTATTATTAAAATAATATTTAATAGTCCTATTTATTTTTACAGGTAATACTTGTCCAGATCAAATAGAACCTACACCTTTTTTGATCGAATGGATACCCGATATTCTTCCAATTTCAAAAATTGGGGAGTTGAGGCTGAGATTTGAATTTGGTCATGTAAAAAGTGAAGCACCACAGAAATGCAGAAAAGTAGCATTAACTAAGAATTACTCTTAGATAATTATTTCATTTTTTAAATGATGATGGAGAAGAAAATAAACAATTGTGATATCTATATATGATATTTAAGCGTAATATAATAATTTAATAATTATATTAAACTTGTAAATTCGCCATTTAATATAGTACATGTTTTTTCACCATTTTATGTCATTGAAATTAATACTTCATCTATCATTAAATTACAACATTGAAAGATATTTAATAACAACAAGAGGATATTTATTATGGAAAGTAAATAGATCTAATGAATTTGTTACTTTTTGTTTTGTTTCCAAAGTCCCCGGAAAAAAGGAGAACTGAGGAGCGACCGAAGCGACACTGTTGCGTCCGTTTCTCCAATCACTCATCTACATCTCAAGTCAATTAATGCCTCGAGAAGGCACATTGATAGCATGTAAATATTGAAATACACGTTGTAAACTAAAATATCAAATTCTAGAAAATATCTCGAGATTAATTGTGACGTTGGGTTTGCATTGTTCATGCAATAATCTACATGGAAGGCATGGGATTTTTTTTTTCGTGAGTCAAGTTAACTTCTTGACGGAAGTTGAATTGTGACGTAAAGGCATCGAAGCGGTCTTCCATTTTCTCAACTCACTTGGCTACCAGTGAGCACGTGTTTTGTTGCCGGTCATTCGTTTCACATCATTCTAACGAGTTTAAGGAGCGTCGACAATTGATAATTGTCACTCACTGTCGACGAAAAGTACAAATTAATTTCCAAACATCATGAATCCCGAGAAGTTGAAGAAGTTACAGGCACAAGTGCGAATTGGAGGTAAAGGTACACCCCGCCGTAAGAAGAAGGTAAGTGGAAGAATATTTGCCACATTTTTATGTATTTCATGTGTTTGCATTCCACTCGAAATATCTATCATTCACCCTAACAATTATTATTTTGTCGTCTGAAAAAGCTCTATGACTTTGTTATTCGTTCAATGATAGATGTTGGCTATCACGTTTGTCATGGTCATTCCCTGCTGCTCCAGAGGGCTTTTGTTAAAGAAATATATATATATATGTATATATTATTATTTATTGTCATTCTTATTCAACTGGATCATAATTATCTTCTTTGCTTACTAAACCATCTTCTCAATATAGGCTAGTTGTGCTTATCATTGAAATGGTCTTGATATATGTTTTGGTTTATTCGCTCTGGCTTTCTGATACACATTCATCACCTAATATGGCTATACAAGTGGTCACGATTCATCATATAGTCAATAATCTCTTACTATGTTATTTATACCTCTTAGAGCATACTGATTTTACACAATTGAAAAATATTTATTTATTTATAATTTCTAACAAAAGGTTGTTCATGCCACTGCTGCAACGGATGACAAAAAATTGCAAAGCTGCCTAAAGAAGTTGTCTGTCAATACGATTCCTGGTATCGAAGAGGTCAATATGATCAAGGACGATGGCACTGTGATCCACTTCAACAATCCAAAGGCTCAAGCAAGTCTCTCGGCCAACACATTCGCCATTACTGGCCATGGTGAAAACAAACAGATAACTGAAATGTTGCCGGGTATTTTGAGCCAACTGGGGCCAGAGGGTTTGACTCAATTGAAACGATTGGCAAGCACGGTCACTGGAAGTACAGTGGCCAAGACTGCCATGGAGGATGACGATGAGGTTCCCGATCTAGTTGGCAATTTCGATGAGGCGAGCAAAGAAGAAGTGAGTCCCCAATCGATCGATTATAAATATTCCATCGAATAATTGCTTCCCAATTGATTTTGCCGATTAATAATTTTAATTAATAATTTTCCAAGGTGGCGCCAAAGAAAGAAGCTGAAGAGCCTGAGAAACCCGTTGCTGATAAAAAAGATTCGGCGACCGTTGATGACAAGAAGGAAGCGCCTCTAGCCAAACCAGAAGTCTAAAAGGCTCAAATCCAAGCGTGAGTGTTTTTTTTTTACTACAAAATCAATTGAAATCCCTCCTCCTTTTCAAAATTATTTTATCGTTGAAAATTTTAACCTATTATTCGGGTGTGTCATTTTTGCTTTCAGATGCTCATCCAGACATACAGTTGTATTTAATGAGTTAAAAGACACAAATTGGTCCGGCGAGGATAGATTTGTAACCCCCGACGGAAAAAAAAGAGTTACAAATGTTTGACATACTCTGTGTTACAATTAAATGAGTAACAATTGATATGAAAAAGAAGCAAAAAGTTGAAAAAAAAAAAACAAAAAATAAAATAAAAATAAACTACAATCTTTGACGACTTCAAGTGTTCCAGATCAAATTAAATGACTCATTGATACATAAACAATAAAGTTTACAGAGCACATGAAATTCATCTGGAAATTTTTCTCTAGGTATATTTCGTTATTTAGTATTCACTTTCAAACAATGGATGAATGATGTGTACCGATTACCCAGTTATATGAAATCACAAAAATTCAGTTAGATGCTGAAAAGTCCAATTTTCAGACGTCCCGGCCAGTGGGTATTGCGAATAAAGTCGCGACATTCTTAAAAATATTATGTAAAATTAAACTTGATAGATAATACAAATAAATGTGGGGCAAAAAAAATGAATGAAAAGCGTTTATCGGAGTAGAAGCCTCTGAAATTTTGTTCATTAAAAAAAAAGTGTCAGAAAATACGAGTTACAAAGACATGTTATTCATATCTTTTAATTTTCCATTGTAGTTTGTGGGCTGAAATATTTTGTAATGTAACAAATTTAATAAATTTCTTTGCTGATAACAAATTGAAGAAAAAGGAAAATAATTTTCTTTATTCCTTACTGATTCTGATTTTATTTCAATAGATTCTGAGTTTATTTGAATGATAATATCGGTACATTGATGAATTGTATTGAATTTTTACATGTGGCGAGAGAGGTTCTCTCCAATTTCTTCAAGTTTTCCCCTATAATATCTATGTAACTTGATCGATAGTTACCATATCAGAGTAGAAAATTTCCGATCATAACAATTACCTTTTTCCCATACGATAAAATCACGAAAAAAAATTAAAATGCTAATCCTTGACAATGATTGTCAGTCGTAGATGAAAAATGTCACATGAAAATAATAGGAATAATAATATAATTGCTTTTTATTTCATTATTGTGGTTGTCACCCTTTCGAGGGACACACTGTAGGTTCTTGACTGAATTCTTTTATTTGATTTTCACTTGCACATCTTTTCTTGGGCATTCATTCTCGTCCCATTGGCACAGAGGGTTGAACGGAAATGAGATTTTTTCGGTGAATCGTTCCAATAGATTGTGCGGAGGAAAAATAAGGTCAGCACCGACTGGCTCCGAGTTTTACTTCTTTTTTGTTCTTTCTTTTATTCAAGCCTTTTTACTGACCATGAAAAATGCCTTGAAAAAAAATTAAAATTACACCCCAAAAAAAAATTGCTTGATTCAAGACAAAGTAGGAAAAATAGTATCCAATCAATCCGAATTTATGACTCTTTATGGATATATAAAAAATTACTGTTCGTTACATTTCAAAGAATATTGTTGTTTATATCTAAAATGAATTTAAATAATTAAATTGTTAATAACTGTTGACTGCATAATTGCATTGTGAGCTAAGTTATAAATTCTCTTTCATCAGCACAGCAAAAAACATACAATATACAAGTTTCAACTGTTCATATGAATTTCATTAATTTTTTTTCCTGATGTCGGCGTGGTGCAGATTATTTTTCTATGTATTGGCTCCCTCAATACTGAGGATTCGTTTTTCAAAGGTCCTTTGTATTCAGCTTGCTCCAGTACGACACAAAGTATTATTTTTCCCCCATATTTATAGAGTACCTATTCGCTTTCACAAACCATATATATCGTATATATATATATATATATATATATA